GGCCTCTGGTCCCGGCCCCCTCTCTTCTTCCGCAGCCTTCCCTTTGCTCCCTCCCGCCCCCCCCAGCTCCTTGCCTCCAACTCCCTCCCCTTCCACGCCCGCCCTCTCGCCTTCGCCGTCCCAAAGTGGATTAATTACACGCTTTCTGTTTCTCTCTCCGCTGCTCTCTCCCGCTGTGAGCCTGCCCGCCTCTCGCTGTCCCCTCTCTCTCTCTCGCCCTCTCTTCGAACCCCCCCATTTTCACGTTCACTCTGTCTCTCTCGCTATCTCTGCCCCCTTCTATCCTTGATACAACAGCTGACCTCATTTCCCGATACCCTTTCCCCCCCTAAAAAGTACAACATCTGGCCCGCCCCAGCCCGCAGACAGCCCGTCCTCCCTAAACAATCAGACAAGTCTCCCACCCCCCCAAAAAAGCCATCCCCCCGTTCTGCCCCGTCGCACATTCGGCCCCCGCGACCCGGCCAGAGCGGCGCTGGCAGAGGAGTGTCCGGCAGGAGGGCCAACGCCCGCTGTTCGGTTTGCAATACGCAGCAGGGAGGTGGGCGGCCCCTGCGCCGGCTTCCAGGTAAGCGGCGCGCGGGTCGGGCCGGGCAGGGTGGCCGGGCCCCGGCAGACGGGGGTGGGGGGCTGTCGGTCCCGTTCCCCGTGGCGAGCCCCGCGCTCTCCCCTGCGCCGCGGAGGAGGGGGTGGGGGCGGGGGTGGGGACTTCGGGAAGTGCCAGGGGAGGTGTGAGCTGTCTGTGAGGCGACTTCCTGGTCGCTGTGTGGGTGCAGGGGGGTGTTGCTGAAAGTTTGTGATTTGTGCTGGGCAGGGGCGCAGGCGGGGGGCACTGTGTAATGCGGAGGGGCGCAAATCGCAGAAACCCACCCTGGTATGTTGAATCTGTGCCAGGAAGACTGAGAGAGGAAAACTGGGTGGGCGGGGCCAGGATGGAGCAAGGGGGGCCGAGTTGGCAACAGAGTCATGCCAGACGCCACATTTGCAGCGCACCCCACTCCCAGCCTCCCTTTCCCTGTCCCCAACATTTCCAGCCAGGAATCTGGGGAGAGGGCTTGGTCCAGGGCTCAGAAGGGCAGGAGTGTACAATC